TAAGGATATTGAGCTGTTGCAAAATCCAGTCTGCCACTGCTCATTGTCAATGGTCGACCTCTACCCTAAGGATATTGAGCTATTGAGCTGTTGCAAAATCCAGTCTGCCACTGCTCATTGTCAATGGTCGACCTCTACCCTAAGGATATTGAGCTGTTGCAAAATCCAGTCTGCCACTGCTCATTGTCAATGGTCGACCTCTACCCCATCCTCCACAATTATAAACCATGTAGTACGACACAAAAAGCACATCCCTCACATCCATCAGACTGTAAATACGGTTTAGGATGCACTCCCACATCGAGGGGCGGTCTGCAGAATGGCATGGTTCTAGCAAGTCTCCTGCTAATGAACCCTTTGTACACAAGAAAGAGAAAGAAAAGAAACAAACATACCCACATAGCCGACACAACCACCAGAAGGGAAATAAAACACAGACCTGTATCCCCCAAAAGCATGCCACACCTATGGGCCACCAGAAGCATAACAGCACGACGCTCACTCACCACTGCCACACACCATGTGCCCCCGAGACTACCAGCAGCGGAAATTTAATGCACATTGCACAGCACATACGTTCTAAAACCCATCCACAGAAGAATATGATAGTGGAGAGTGCCATGTGTGTATTCGCGTTTTTGAGTCCATGTTTCTGGGTGTCCTGTGAACCCATGTGTGCATGGCTGTGTGGCTCAGCCGTATGTGTGGGTGTCCGTCTGCAAGTGTGAGTCGGTGTGTAAACGTGTGAGGGTGTGCATGCACGAGTTCCTGTGTGCATGCAAGCCCATGACGACGTGTAAGTCCATTTCGTCTTGTGTGTTCATATCTGTGAGTTCATGGGTGCTGAGTGTGAGGGCATGTAATTGCGCTTGACCGACGCAGGGCAGCTTGTATGCCGGCCCAGAACAGCAAAAACTGACCGCTGAAGGCCAGCAGTGGTGGCCCTACCAGCCCAGCGCCCTCTATTTCAGCAGCGCTGGGCCAGTCGGCCCTAGGTCTCTCCACAGCTCGCGTGGGAAGCACGCACTCTGCTTCTGCAGTTGTAGAACAGGCCAAATGCGGCCAGACCAGACCGTGCTGGGCTGGTAGGGCGTCATGCCCTTGCCAAAGAGAAAGTTGCGTGTCAGCCAGACACTTCTTTTTTGGAGCTTGGCCAGAGAAAGCAAGCACCACAAAGAAAGACTTCACGTGGACGTCTTTTAAACCACCAGTATGTTTCCCAGCCATTTTTCAGAGACGCTGAGTGATTTCTGCCATGTTGGGCGGGAAGTAATGGGGTTTTGTTTCGTTGGACATTCATCCAGGCAAAACGGGCCTCGCATGTGACCTGTTCCGCCTGGATGGATCTGCCATGAAACGGAAACCCAAGAACTTCATGCCCGACATGGCAGCATGCACGCTGCATCTCTGAAAAAATGGCTGAGAAACGTACTGGTCGTTTAACCACCAATCCACCATGACCAGTAATGCCAAAGGCCCTGTGCAAAAAGGAGGCGCACGGAAGGGGGCAGGCCCTACAACCCTACGTGAAAAAGTGTGCTCTCATGCATCTTTTCTTCTATAGATCCTCGTGCCCTACTGGTCCAGTGCTACCCAGTATGGCCACAACCCTCACACAAAACAGGACATGCACACTGCCTGAAAGCAAATGTATGGTGCAAAGAGCGAACACATGCCATGAAAAAACGGTGCTACTAAACATCACTTTCATTGGACTGTGGCAAGGCTTTGGAAGTTACGATGGTCATCATCTGGAGTGATAAGGTAGTATAGGTTGAAAACCGTTAAATTCAATAAATATTAAATTCAATTATTAAATTGTCATCATCATTGAGCTCAACGTCTGCTCATCGATGTCCTTGGCGTTGTCATCATCTGATTGAATTCATCATGATCATCACACTCATGCATCCTAATAGTCTGCCTCATCACGATTGCTCTCAATCTCCTTATCATCACTTCGGGGGGCCCACCACCACCTGTGCTTTGATCGGAGTGGTAGCACTTCTACTGTGGAGGCTACGGTGGCTTCTGCGATATTCTGTGGTCAAGTGAGGTAGACGAAGCTCCTGAATATGGTGGAACTTTATGGGACACTTTGTAAGTTTAAGACTAAAAAGGCGAAGCTTTATGCGACACTTCGCAAGTTTGCAAGTAGCTTGTATGTTGGGGAAGGCAGTCGCTGCCTGGCATCCCCTGAGAGAAGACGATCTTCGTCACCATTACGATTTCCATAAGCTTCACTGTATTCAATCTGACAAAGAATACGCACTTCCTGGAAGCCTCGCGCAGTTAGGCACGATCACCCAAAAAGGGCAAAAAAGTTGAAAAAAACATGGTAGGAAGTTACACTGAACTATAAAGAAAATGGGATATCCAAGAGTTCACGAGTGTGACGTAGACTTGTGTGAAGGGTGCTTCATTGTCAGTGCTACCGTCTTCACCCGAACACAACGCACCCTGATTATGAATGTATATGGACCCCCGGTGGTCCAACCGGAATTCCGGTTGGGCCCAAAAGTGGGTCAAAAAAGAGTATAAAAAAAGATTGAAAACAAATTCAAAACATGGTTTGTTTGTTTTTTTTTTGGGGGGGGGGTGTATTTAAGGGGTTGAGGGTCGGGGGTTGGGGGGTTTATGGTGAGGGTGTTAGTGATGGGGTTTCCGCAAGCACATGCTTCCACAGACATTGACAACAAGGTACCTGGCTTTCTGCAAACGTTAACCTTCCGCCCAAAAGTTTGAACAGGGGGCTGGAGGTGTTAGTGGCAGGGTAGGGACAGTAGGGGCATATACGAATACACATACACACAAGGTGAGTACGCAGTCACAAAGTGACACAAAGCATCAACAGAAAACCCTGTCTCTTATACACATCTAGATGTGTATAAGAGACAGCACACACACACACACACACACACAAAAAAAAAAAAAAAAAAAAGAACAAAAAAGAAAACAAATAAAAAAACATAGCAACCGCGGACCTGGACCTGGACATGTCTGGACCGAGGCCCAGAGATTTGTCTGGACTGGTCCAGACGTCCGGTAATCACAGGCACCGGACAGCCAGACAGGACAGGACCCGGTACCCAGACACAAAAATGTCCGGACCAAAGGGGAAAAAAAAAAACAAAAAAAAAAAACAATACATGTTCAACCTACGGTTCTCTATCCCCGATGCTTCCCTCCTTCGCCCTCCGCCCCCCTCCCCTTGCCGGGCATGCTAAGCAAGTAATAGCAGCGCAGGCCACTTTATCTTCGTCGTCCTCGTGTTCCTCTTCCTCGTCCTCGTCCTCGTCCTTGTCGCCGCCCTCCCCCTCCTCTTCCTCCTCCTCCGCCTCCTCCAGCTCCTCCTCCCCCTCCTCCCTGTCCTCTTCCTCCCCCTCCGCCACCCCCTTCTCCCTCTCCACCTGTACTGCCGCACTTCCCCTCATCAAATTTTTTGATCCCCCATGTCTTCCTCTTCTCACAATCCCATCATCATATCCCACCGTCATGTCGCTTCTTCTCCCTTTCACGATCAGAGTCAGTAAGGAAAGAAAAATTAAACCACCATAGCCTGTTTCTGCCCCCTTTCTCGATTCCTGGCACCATCATGATCTTACCTTGTCGTGGCAGAACGTGTTCCTTATCTTTCATCTTCATCGTCACTTCTTCAGTCCGCATTGCCATGGTGGGGCACTTGCTCTCTCTCTCTCTCTCTCTCTCTCTCTCTCTCTCTCTCTCTCTCTCTCTCTCTCTCTCTCTCTCTCTCGCGCGCGCGCGCGCGCGCCCACACACACTTCATCTGTTCATGGGAACCCCGCCCAAAAAGCATGACTGTGCCAGACTGTTTTGTTTGACTTTCACCAATTCATCAGGAGGTTGAACCCCGACAGCCTGCGCACAATGCATTTGTGTGCATACACGCATGTGGGTGTGAAAATGCATTAGCGTGTGTGTTTGTGTGTGTGCTTGTGCAGACGGGCGGGCGGGCGGGCCATGAGTGCGTGTTGTCAAGTCTGCCGTGTGCATGTGAGCGTGCTTGTGAGTGTGGGTGAATGCATGCATGTGCATGTGTGTTTGTGCGTGTACTTGTGCAGACGGGCGGACGGGTGGGGCCATGAGTGCGTGTTGTCAAGTTCCCTATACACCACTTCGCTGCGCTGCCAAAGATAGAGCATCCACTGCGGCCCTATACAACACGTCACTGTGCCGCCAAAGATAGGGCCGATCGTCGCAACAGGCGCAACAATCCAGGCCGCCCGTGGTCCTACCGGGCCAATGGCGAGGATCGTCCCGCGATCTTAAGACTTTAAGATCGCGCAACGATCCAGGCCGTTCGGCAGGTCTGACGGTCCGGATTTTCGTGCAATCTTGAAGTCTTGAAGTCTTAAGATCGCACGAAAATCCGGACCGTCGGGCCGGTAGGACCGCGGGTGGCCCGGATCGGCCAATTCTCACGTTAGCGATTTCTGTAAGCGTAGGGATTCCTTTTTCTTTCTTTCTTTTTTTTTTTTGAACAACACAGCCCCTTCTATTCTTGGGGGCATCAGTCCGGATGCTTATCACCGGCAAGCATGTTTCCACAGCATAGACGAGGGAAGAGGAGAAAGAGGGGGACCTTGTTCTTTTTTTTCCTTCTGAGCCTTCACAATGTAATTTTTGTTTTTTGTGTAAGTTTTTGTTTGCCAACTTTCGCCAAACATTTTCCGAGACAAGTTCTAAATTTTGATACGTACATAGGCTCCTTCATGTCAACTGATTCACTTACTTAGGTCATCGATTTAAAATTTTTAATTGTTATGAAGTAGAGAATTCCCCCACCCCGAAAAACTAAGCTTTATTCTTCTCCCACATTCCCCTTCACTACCTACCTACCACCACTCGTAAGCCTATACAGGGGATCCCTGCAAGCATAGCTAGGCCTCTGGGGACACAAAAATCAAGAAATAATCCCAAAAAAAGAAAAAAGAGGAAAACGTTTTCACATCAGTGTCCTTCAGGACATCCATTGAAATTGGAACGCTACAGAGAAGATTAGCATGGCCCCTACGCAAGGATGACACACATACATCGAGAAATGGTCCAAAGAGTGGCAAAGACTCCAAATTCAAAAAAATAAAATAAAAAAAATCGCATCAGGTGGGGTCATATTCTTTTCCAAGATACAAAAACGCTTGAGCCTCAACTTCAGGAGGGTCATGCATGTGTCTGAGTCTAGGCTTTGATGTAAATTTCCAAAGTGCTCTTTGAGTCACAGGTGACGGACGAGTTTTCTTTTGAACTCTCTGTACTCCGAGAGACAGCTAATTTGTTGATTGCCGTGTTATGATTACTTGCGACCATGCATCTCATACTCGTCAATTTGACTCACCTCTTTGCCATCAAAACTGTCCGGGTCTTTCTCCCTGTATATCTGCACACAAAATGGGCAGTATTTGCCCTGCAATTGCACTGCATATTCAGTAAATAAATAACAACATAAAATGCGCATATTTGCCCCGGAATTACAAGTGAATTATCCCATCCTCGACAATTCTTCAAAAAGTATAATGTCACAAAAGTACACATTCGCAACACCTCTCCCACCGTCAATGAATAACAACATAAAATGCGCATATTTGCCCC